AAATTGAAAATTTTGTAAGAAAAATATAAAATTTATTATTTAAAATTTGAAATAAAAATAGTTTCTTTTTTGGAAAGTATTTAAAAAATAAATTTCAAATTAGGAAATAAAAATGAATAATTGAGGGAATGGCAGATTTCCACCTTATCAGGTATTTTATTTTGTATTTATAGTTAGTAGCAGATGCATGGTGACCTTATTAGCAGCTGGAGATGACTGAGACAATCCTCGATAAATATTCAGTAAGAAAATATCCAACGCAAGTGATGTCGTGAATGTAGCGCTTCAATCTTTGATGATTGAAGTAGTAGACGATGAGGATGGGTGGCATTAGTTCAAGGTTATTTCAAGATGACAAATCATCATTATCATAAGATGGAGGAGGAAAATATGGATGCAAAACAAAACAAATGAGAGTGCATTTATCGATGATGATTATAATGATTATGACAATGATGATTATAATGATGATGATGATGATGATGATAAGATGATAATGATGATGATGATGACAGATTAAGTATACGCATTTGGTAAATTATAGAGATGAGGAGAATGAATGAGGATTATTGATAAGATAAGAAAACTTCTTTCATTAAAAATTGTTGCTAGCAAAAATTAAATTTCTTTTTAAATTATCATCTTTCAATTTTAAAACCATCAATTTAAACATTTTAATACTATCATTTTGCAATAATAATGCCATAATAGATAATTGAATTATAATCGAAATATTTTAGTGCATTTGCGAATAATTTTTGTTACTGTAATTTTAAATTTATCTCTTGAATTTAATAATCGGTAACTTTACAAATGTAAAATTTGTTTGATGAGCAAATTTTGCATGAAACAGTACAAAAATTAATATTTCTGAGCCATATTTAAGAAAATTTAAATATACGATATGATTAAATAACGATGAAATGATACATTTTTATCATTTAAAAATGATTATAAATTTGAAAAAGAGAGAAAAAAAAATGGAAATTTAAACAATTCTTCTCACATATGCAATCATTCTTTTGTTTAATTTATCCAATTTTTTCCCGCGTTATCCATTAGAAGTGAATTTTAAATTATGCAATTATAAAATCTAAATTAATATTTCATAAATTAATAATTTTACTCAAATTATTTATTGCTTAATAAGGAAATACGGAAAATAAAAGAAGTATAACAGATTGAAAATTATTTATATTTTTGTACTTTTTTAAATTTGATAATTTAATAAACATCAATTTTAATCTTCTTTTTTTTTAATTTTAAAATATTCCACAATCCAAAATGATACGAAAAAGGAATGGAATTAAGAATGAATTGATTAAAAGTAATCTATTAGAGAATAAATTTGAAAAAGATTACCATTATGATAATAATAAAATGAAGTGTTAAAAATGAAAAAAAAAAAGAAATGAAGATTGCTTGCCATTTTTTGTTATCATTGGCGCTTATTGCTGTAATGTGACAATTTCCGCCACTAACCCAACAAATAAATCAGTATCTTTTTTTTTTTTTTCAAATATTGAAAAGAAGAGAAAAAGAAAGGAAATTTTTGGTGACAGTGAAGAAAAGAAAAGAAAAAAAGAAAGTGAATATTTAAGATGAAAGAAAAGAAGGATTGTTATGCATTATGCTAACAGATTTGCATAGATTATCAATGCAAAAGAAAAACAATTAGGGTAAAAAGAAAAAATTTTTATGTGAAAAAAAAAGGAAAAGAAAAAAAGAAAAAAGGGATCAAATTTCGATTTTTAAGTATTAAAATTCCTTTTTTCTTTTTTCACCACTTTTTTTCTTTCTTTTACAATATTTTTGCATAATAATATGATATTTGAACTTTCGGATCATTTCCTGTGCTAAGTGATCGTTCATAAACATATTGATTGATCGGTCAACTCCTCGTTTTTTTCTTTTTCCTTTTCATCTTTGAATTGAAACGAAACTGTGGTATCAATCAATATTGTTATCTTATCTACTAATCAGAAATTAAATCATAGTTTTGGATTAGAATAAAATTGATTTGATAAGCCTGAAATGTTTGAATTTTTGAAGAGTTAAAGGACTACTATAAATAAACGAAATAGAAAGATACCAACACATATACAATGATGTCTGATGAATTTGTTGTTGTCATCTAATAAATTAATTTTTATCTTTTTCAAAATGCTGATAATAGTGATCAAAACTAGTTTAGTAAAAGCTGCATCATTGATTGATTATCATTTGATTGATTACCTTCACCTGAGGTGTATTAATTAATTATTTCTGCTTGAGGTGTATTAATTACGAATGTAAGAATATTTTCCCATATGCAAAATATTTCCTTACCTTTAAAAACCATAATTTATTATCTGTTAATGAATGGAATCGATGAATCAGTTTAAACATCATTTTCCATCCTTTATTTTCTTCCTACCCTTTCTTCGTCCTCAATTTTTCCATTAAAATTTTTATTTCATTAAAATTTCAATCTATTTGTCTCATAGTTCATCAACAGTTTCATTCGGGAAAATTTTTTTCTTCAAATATTAATTTGAAAAATTTTTGAAATATTAATTCTTCACAATTTCAGCTTACATTCAAATTTTTTTTTCTTTTAAAATTAATACTTTGCCACACAAAAACATTTGAAAATTCATTGGTCTAAAAAAAGTTGCTTAAAATGAATGATGAAATGGCTCATAAATGATTCAAATTTCAAATATTTTGTTTTTCGTGCTAATTATGACTTTTTAAAAAAAAAAAGTGGTGACAACAACAGAAAATGATTTCACTCATTATAATCTCTTCTTGGCGTTGTTAATTTATAGAAATTCAATAATTATCACGGGAATCTTTCGTTATTAGCTTTTGTTGTCCAATTAATTTGACTAATTACTGAGCGTTCGCTAAAATGCATTTCTTTTCTTTTTAAAAAAACTATTTTTTTTGGTATAAATAAAATTTTTTGTAAAATGAAAAATAAAATAGAGAAAAACGGTAATTTTCTTAATTTTATTTTTTAAAAAGTTAAAAAAGAAAAGAGATAAAAGAAAACCCTTATAGATAATGTGACAAATAATAAATGGTGACATATTGTCT